CGGGCAAAGTAGCGGCGCTCAGTGTGATACTTCCCGCAAGTCTGGCCCGCACGGACACCCGTGCGAATGACATACGGGCAGGTCTCACTACCCTCACCCGTCCCACACTGAACCAACCACTCACGGAGCTGTTGGGGCGTCTGGGTCTCGCTCCGACGCTACTGCTGCTGGCCTCGACCACCACCAGGGCCTGCACGCCGAGGTCCAGACCGACCACCACCGGTCCCACCACCGCCACTGCCGCCACGCCCTCCGCTACCTCCACCGCCGCCACCAGAGCCTCCACCGCCGCCACTACCTCCACCGCCTCCACCTCCTACCGCTGCCCCCACTACCGCTCCCACTGCCACCTCCACCACCACCGCCGCCTCCTCCACCACCCCGGCCACCCTTGCCCTTGCTGTTGCGGCGCTTCGCACTAGTCAAAGCAGCACCGACGTCCTCAGGAACAGAGACGTCTGCAGTAGCAGCAGAGGCGAACGAGGGGGAAAGGGGGGAGGGGGAGCACCCCTCAAAGAAGGGCGAGCGCGGAGTGCCACGAGCAGCACCTACAGCAACTGCACTAGTCTCAGCTGCGAGGAGATGCTGCTCGAGGAGGTCAACAGTGAGGGAGGTGGGGTCGAGGGTGAGGAAGCGATCCCTGACAGAGCGAAGGGAGTCAGGGAGGCGAGTGACTTTGAAGTAGAGAGTGATGAACATGGGGGGCTGGTTCGTGGGAATGAACTCAGCAGGGACGGTAGTGCGGTAGCGAGCGTCGCTAGTGCGCAGGTGGGTAACCAGGTCCGCTACTTTGGCAAAAGCCGACAGCTCAGGGAACAGGTAGGGCAGTAGCAGCCTGCCAATAGCAGCAGTGGCAGGGGAGGAGTAGCGAGCAACGACAGCGTCGTACAGGGCCTGTGCTGTCCTGTGCTCTCCAAAGTGAGCACACTCAGTCGTGGGCAGGTGGTTGCGAATGGCCAAGCGGGCAGTAGCGTCACGAGACAGCCACTGGGAACGAGTCGAAACGTCAGCTGTGGCGGGAGGGGCTGGAGCCGCACCGGACACGTGGTCAAACAGTGAGACACTGTCCTTAAGATCGCTCAGTAGGTACAGTTGCAGATCGTCGTGCCACGTGTCAAATGCTACAGGCCTGCCCTCCGGGTCGAACGCAAGAACTCTAAGTGAAGCCATTTGCGCAAGGCTCAGGAGCAGAAGGAGCAGCAGTAGCAGTGGCTAAGGGGCCAAGGGGCGGGGCCGAGGGGCCTAGGGGCCGAGGGGCCGAGGGGCCTAGGGGGCCGAGAGGCCTAGGGGGCCGAGGGGCCAAACAAGAGGGTCGAGGGGCCAAACAAGAGGGCCGAGGGGCCAAACACGAGGGCCGAGGTGGCCGAGCCTAGGGGCCGAGGCTAGGGGCCGAGGGGCCGAGAGGCGCGGCCGAGGGGCCAAACAAGGGGCCGAGGGGCCTAGGGGGCCGAGAGGCCTAGGGGGCTGAGTGGCCAAACAAGAGGGCCGAGGGGCCAAACACGAGGGCCGAGGTGGCCGAGCCTAGGGGCCGAGGGGTGGGGCCGAGGGGGCGCTGGGCGAGGGAAGGGGCCGGGCGCGGGTGTCGACGGGGCGCGGGCTAGGTACGGGCCGGGCGCGGGTGTCGACAGGGCGCGGGCTAGGTACGGGCCGGGCGCGGGTGTCGATTTGGCGCGGGCTAGGTACGGGCCGGGCACGGTTGTCGACGGGGCGCGGGCTAGGTACGGGGCCGGGTGCGGGTGTCGACAGGGCGCGGGCTAGGTACGGGGCCGGGCGAGGGTGTCGACGGGGCGCGGGCTAGGTATGGGCCGGGCGCGAGTGTCGAAAAGTGATGTGATGTGATGTGATATGATGTGATGTGATGTGATGTGATGTGATGTGATGTGATGTAATGTGATGTGACATGTCTGAAGATTGCGCCTTGTCGTCTTGCAGCGCTTCGATATGGCAGACGTATGTGAGAACATAAACGCAAGAGAAGTGAAACATAATGTTCTGAACAAGACAATCAGACGTTAACACAATTCATGATAAATTTCAGCGAATGGTAGTGGACATGCAATACGGTACAATGCTCCTTCGAAAAATCGACTGGAGAACAATTGACATACCGTATCACCCCGGATAAAAGCGCAGGTGCGCTTATAATAAAACAGTGTTTTTTAGGGGGGTGCGCTTGTAATTGAGTCATTTGTATAAGCGCATGCGCTTATATTATGACATTGAATTGTAATTTTAAGACACCAAATTGTATATTTCACTCTTGCCATTTCAACCGAGTCGTTTTTTTTTCCCGTCACAAAGCAGAATCGCATGCAAGCGATTCTCTTCCAGCACATAGGGGCCAAGATGCGACACTTTGCAGTCATGCCAGCACATCCTGACTGGACGCGCAGCCAGTCAGGTCTTCGAGAGTCAAGCTAGGCGAAAATGAGATTGTACTCGCTTCGAAATTGAAACTCGCTGAAGTTTTAAACAGAAATATTGATTTAAAATTGTACATGCGCTTATAAAAAGTAATGTTTTCACAGGGGGTGCGCTTATAATTGAGGATCGGCCATAAGCGCATTGCTCCAGATAGAAGCGCACGCGCTTATCATAGGCCTGCGCTTCTATCCGGGGTGATACGGTACCTAGGTCCAACATTCGGCTAGAAAAGAGACTCCCAAGGTTTTTTTCATGCTAAGTACTAGCAAGAGCCTGTAAAGAGGGGGAGCTGGTTGAGGAGGTGAGGCGGGGGCATCTATATGAGACTCCTAGATTAGTGACATCAGAATTGAATCATTATGGAATCATATCTGTACATACATGTGTTCTTACAGCAGGACCTAAGCATTAGGAGATTGTTATTGAATTAGAGTCCAATAATAAAAAAGATTCGGCTCCTGGGATCAAGCGAGCATGCGAATGATGGGACAGTTGGCTGGTGATGACAGCACTTGCCACCTCCGGCTGCAGCTGAACCTCTTCCTCTTCGCCTCCAGTACCTTCCGCCACATCATATTATCAGCTGCTTCTCCCCATTCCCCACTGCTGCTGTCCGTGCTGCATTTCTGCTGTCCTTTCCTCCTCCTGCTGCTGCTGCTGCTGCTCCTGCTGCTGTTTTCTCTATCACGCAGCAAGGGCGCCTGGCCGCGGGGCATCAAGAGAGAGTAGCACCAGCGCTCCACACATCACACTCAGCACCATACGCTCCTTAAAAAACTTCAGGAGCCATGTATTTTGCTGTACCCACGCGACAGCCTTCCGCATGCTCTTGCAGGCAGCGATTTCCCTAGTGCTGCGGTGCACGCATCTCCGTATCACACCGTACTGCCCCCTGCCTATCTCCCTTCTTGCCACCACCCACTGCCGCCCAATGTCCTCCACTCGCCACCTCAACACCTCCCCCACTTGCACATTCCGATCCTGGTGCAGCCGGGAGTGGCTGATTTCAGGGGCTCATCCGATGAGTGGGGAGCTGACTTCGAGGCTCGGAATCTGGCTCTGACTTTGAGCAGCTGCTGATTCAGAATATCCATTGACAGCTGTTGCCGCATTGGATGCGACATTCACCGCCAAATTCTCTGCATTGACTGCATTCACTCCTCATCGACTGTGCTGACAGTGCTTGAATCGAAGGGCAGTTGCAAATGCGTTGACTCGGTTGACTTGGTTGACTTAGCTGGTTCGGTTGACTTCAGGGAATGAGCCCATGAGGAGCATCGTGGAACCACTGCCGCATCAACCGCCGCCGCTGCTTCCGTCCCAGCACCATTGGTGCCCGGCACGTTTCAACCATTGACGCCGCTGCTTCATTCAACCAATCCTCAAGCGCCACGTCGCCTGCTGCAGTACCCGCTCCTGCCTCAGCGGAGGACCCGCAGGGAGCCGCCGCGGGGAACGGCTCTCCGTCAATTAAGCTGAATCGCGCGGAATTGGAGGACCACGGAATGGAATCGGCGCAAGGAGACATAGGGAACGCCGCGTGCGGAAATGCGGAGACGGAAGGGGAGGCGGAAGTCGAGGATGGTCGTGGGGCTGCGGCAGCTCGGAGTGGCGACATCCGTAGCGGCGGATGCGACGGTGACATCCGAGGTACACGTGGTGACGCCGCAATAAGCGCCGTCATGCCCGGCGGCAGCGGCGCTGAGATGAATCTCGAGGGTTCTGTTGGAATTCAGCGGCAGTGGCGTGCCGTCGATGCGGCTGGGGCTCGCGCGAGATCGCCGCGTCGCGGCGCTGGTCGACGACGTGCAATGCGAAGACGACATGATTCCAACAATGATGGAGAAGATCGTTGGTCGAAATTGCGCGCGATCGCTGTAGTCGAAACGGCGAGAAATGGCGAGAATCGGTGAGAAACGGCGAATTGTTGCGAATTGCTAGACCCTAAGCTGAGCGGCCTTGGATGGTTTCCAGTCGGAAAGCGTTAAGGCGGGATTCGGGAAATGGCTTGAGCTGCGACTGCTATGGCGGGTGAATTCGAGTCGGACTCTGTAGTCGCACTCGAGGCGAGCGTACTAATCGAGGTGGATGAAGAATAGTAATGATGGACGGCGGAGACGAGTTTTGACGCGCTACTTGAATCAATGGAAGGAGAGGAGAGCTGCGTGAAACACATCCCGCGACGCATAAAAGGGTTCATGAACTTGGACAGGGCTGTGCAGTGCAGTGAGTGCCCTCAGCGGTAAGTAACCAATGCGGGCTCGACTAAGTCCATGCCATGCGTTCCGATCACCAATACTGACTCAGTGCCATGATGACTCAGCGGCGGTACAGTTACTACCGTTACCGATGGGGAGGATGAGATGAGTGAGAGTGACGCCATGGATGGACATGAGAATTTTCGCGCAAAATGCGGGGGGAGAAACGGGGGGTGCAAAACGTCGAAGAGGAAATTCTCTGCACCCTCCAATTCTCCCCTCACTTTCAGAAAAGGGCGCGTGAAGCGCGGCTCGCGGCAGTCGGACTTTTCCCCCGCACTGCACTGTCAGCCATCGGCGGAGCACCGACCGGCGGAGATGATCAGCGGAGCACCGATCGGCGGAGCACCGATCGGCGGAGCACCGATTGGCGGAGCACTGGTCGGCGGAGAAGATCAGCGGCGTAAGTGACCCATTCGTTTTGCTTCGCTTCGCACCAATGCCGCTATTTCTCCTGAGGCCTGGTGCCAAGACACGACACGTCACGTCACCCCTAGTTTGACGAGTATCGGGACAGCAAATATCGTAATCGCATCGGATCAGATTTTGACGACGACTCAGACAGACTCGGCCAGTCTCGGGCTACTGTAGCATGTTGCGTTGGCTGTCGTGTAGTGGCCATGCCAGCTAGTCGAACGGAGCTCTAAGAGCCAGCGCTGCGAAGGAATGGTCGACGGGATACTAAGTGGCAGTGGCAGCGCTGGCTTTTGCGAACGTACCAGTGGCAGTGAGAACGCGCATGGCTGCTAAGTTCTGACTAATAGTACTAAGCGCGGAACTTAGGGCCAGTGCTGGGAAGGGCCGCTAGACGTATATGTACCGCTAAGCGTGGAGCTATACTACTGAGTGTGCGCGTGTTAGAAATGCTGACCTGGCTTCGCGAGGCCAACGCGGATGAGGGAAAGAGAAGGAGAGCTCTCTTCTGACAATATTGTACTACTCCGCATTTCTTCCTTCCTCCTAGAACAGGCCTGTGGAAGTCCCTGGGACCAAAACTTTGAGTCCTGAGCTGCTCGAATTCTGGCCCTGATTTTCACGGGCGCAGTCCAAATTAAAAACTTGAAATCAGGGCTTCTTAGGAAAGTGTGCTTGAGCCCTGATGTAACACAGGGGGATGTTTTCTCTTAGCAGGAAAAAGGTACATACGAACTACTCTCCACACACCTACAGCCTCTACATCGTAGGCAAAAGCACCATAGGAAAAATCATCGGGGAGTGGGGGAATGGGGGGGAGGCAGGGGGAATTTGGGGGGGGTGTGTCCTTCGAAACAGAAACCAAAGCTTTGATTCAGGGGAAGGCCCAAACGAGGCCCGTAACGGTCACGGGTGCCATGCGCATATAACACTTTAAATGGTCGAGCTGCTCTAAAAGTAGGCCGGAATGTTAAGGGAATTAAGGGAAAATGCCTTTGCTTCTACAGCCCTGTCCTAGAAACGGTAACAAAGGGGGAACAAGTGCTAAATGTTCCACAGTGCGGATCTGTAGCACCCATCGGTTCAGCCGGGACTGATTATTTGGACGGTTCTAAACATGTATTTTGACTACTGTAGTAACTATTTTCTCTCGGACATTCGTGTTGCGGCAGGTACAAGACAAGTGCTACTCGAGAATCTAACGACGGACGCAACTCGCCTGTCTCCAACTCAATGCTGCTGCTTGCTTGATGGAAGGGGAGACCAAATGGAAGCTGAGCTTATTGTCATTGCGGGGTGTCATTGCGTGTGATGTGGTTGGAGAAAATTCGGGCAGGAATGAGTAAGGGTGGAGCGCTGGAGATTATCTTGGGCTGGGTTGGTCGGAGAAGATCTTCCGTTGAGCATCTTGTTGAAGCCCCGCCAAAGAGGGAGAATCTTGCAATCGGTGCTGACGTGTCTGCCTGCCCCTATCAGCAAACGAAAACTGGTTCCCCTCCTAAAAACGGGGACTGCGCTTGACATTACTACAGCTTTATATCCCAAGCATATTCGAACATATACCCCAAGAGAAGGCAGGGAAATCTAATAATGTAAAGCAATTAATAATCAACACATCTCATTCAATATATGCTCTGAGATGAGATTTCCAGGGAAAGCAACAGAAATGTTGTGCTCCATTGCAGCATATGCTTCATTTTCCAGTATCCACCACACGTCCTACTCATGTGAGAAATATATGACATGGGTTGGTGGGCTTGCTAATAGTGAGAGGCATGGAGACTGAACCAACAATTTGAAAACACGTCCAATCTGTCTTGGAATGGGTTAAGACATCTTTCTAAGCAGGCACATTTTTTTGGGCAAGAGTTCATCACATGCCAACCGAAATTTAGACCACAATCTGCATCTTTGCTTTGCTTTGCTACCTACAACCAGCATGTTGGGCTAAGGAAAGCCCTTAGGATCTTTTCAAGGCTAAGACCTTTTGAGTAGGAATGTTGTAGTTGCGGAAGCGTAATAATAATATTACTGAACCACCTTGCACTAATGTGTGAGAGCAAGATAAGTTGATTAAAGCAAAGAGATACATGAATATATATATGATTACAAGGAATACGAAGAGGTGCGGTTTTAACTGTTTTTGCTGTTGCGGTTCGACGCAGTGACGACTCGGGCAATTGCTCAATATCGAGTCAGTTGTTTGTCCTTGCTGTCGCGCTGTATTTTTCGTCGAGTCAAAGGTCGCTGACCTTTGACCTTCGCGTAACCTCCAGCTGTTGTTTTTGTTGACTCACGTGTTGCTTCACTGTAGTGTGCTCCGTTTTCGTGTGGATACTTCGATACTCCGGAAGCGTTAAATTACTTATTTCCAACACTCCCCTTCGCTTCTACAGTGTCGTTGCTGATGACGTGTCCTTGTCCAGTCAGCAACATGCAATACTCGAACTTCTGCTTTCCGAGTTTCTTGGTCAAGTAATCGGCTGCCATCTCGGATGTGGGACAGTAGGATAACTCGAGTCTTCCCATCTCGATTTCGTCTTTTACGAAGAAGTACCGGAGGGCGATGTGCTTCGTTCGATTCGCGAACTCATTCTTGTTCGCTATACGAATGGCCGATTGGTTGTCGCAGAAGAGGGAGAAGCTGGGTAACTGAGCCAACTTTGCTTCTTCCAGTAATTCGCGAAGATATAGTCCTTCCTTGGTGGCTGAGCAGAGTGCGATGTATTCTGCTTCGGCTGAGGAGAGAGCGATTAGCTCTTGCTTGTTCGACTGTCATGAAATGGGGCCGATAGGTTCGAGTCGGTAGATGTAGCCAGTACGAGATCGCCTGTTGTCAGAGACTCTGGCGTGATCGGCGTCGACGTAGCCGATTAATTTAGGTGTCGTAGTTTTGGTCTTGTGGTAGGTTAGTCCGATCTTCGGGGTGCTGACGAGGTAGTGAAGTGCACGGTCGAGCTCCATCATGTGTTCTGCTTCAGGCTTCTTGAGATAGGTGGCGAGTTGACTAGCTGAGTAAGATAGATCCGGTCGGCAAGTAACGGCTGCGAAGAGTAGACAGCCTAGCTTTCGTTGGTAGTCGCGAATGCCGGCGGGTTTGAGTAGGGCGGAGACTTTGTTGCGATTTCCGTCGGTGTAACGGTATGGCGTGGTGATGGCTGTCAGAGGTCCACTGGTGATTCCCGATTGATCCTAAGGAAGGGTTACAGGCTCGTTGTCCTGGGGGGTTGTGGGCGCGCTGACCCGCTACTTAACAAGCCCTTTCATCCCAGTGGTCTAGTGACTGGGATTCTGACATGGTATCAGAGCGAAGGTCTTGGGTTCGAATCCCAGTGTGTGCACTTCGGGCATCCCAGTGCGGGGGGGTGTCAGAGGTCCACTGGTGATCCCCGATTGATTCTAAGGAAGGGTTACAGGCTCGTTGTCCTGGGGGTTTATGGGCGCACTGACCCGCTACTTAACAAGCCCTTTTATTCCAGTGGTCTAGTGACTGGGATTCTGACATTATTGTAATTGTATACATTATTCTATAACTGCCTGTAGTGTAGACTTAGTGTAGTTATATCCCTTGTTGTTGTGGTGCACCTTCTTCCTTTGCATGTCCTTTCCTATTTGTACCCTCGCTCAATATTGAATCAACCTCTTTCTTCTCTTTTTGGCTTGCTCATCTCTCTCGACACTCACGCTAGTACTTAGAACCCTAGCCATGGCTCTTTAGTTCATGAGCTTATCTTGACATGGTATCTAGAGCAGGTCCGTCCTGCGGACCTCCGTTTCGTTTTCTTGACATGGGCCCACCACTTGCCAACATGCAGCTCGCCCCGTCGCCCCTGTTGTCCCGGTCGCGCCAGGTTGGTCACGTCGCGACCAACGGGAAGCAGGCCGCGACGACCAGTGCGGCGCGATTTGCGCTGGTCGTCAGCATCCCTGTTCGTCGCCCCGTCGCGCCTCGGCACGTCGCCACCAGCGCCGAGCGCGAGCGCCAGCGACCAGCGCTACCGCGGATGCCAACGACGAGCACCAACGCAAATCGCGGATGCCAGTGCCAGCGCGTGCGCCAACGCCCAGCACCAGCGCCCAGCGCGGACGCCATCGCCCCGCGCTTTGCGCCCCCCGCACAGCCCATCTCACCACAGCATCCTACCCCACCCACCCTCCCATCGTCCCCACTGCTGCAGCCGTGTTTTCTCCTGCTGTTGGGAAGGAGGGGGGGGGGAGTGTTGGGGGTGGTGGCCGTGAGTGGATGACGGGGGTGGATGAAGCAGAGGCTGCTGCCACTCCACTGATGTGTTAAGCAGCTGCACCCCCGCCCGCCTGCACCTCCTCCCTGCTGCAGGAGGGTGTGGGCGTGGCGGGTGTGACCAGCCAGCAGTCGTTTCCTCCTACTCTCTCTCTCACTGCCGCACGTGTCGCTGTGGGGGGAGGGGGGGGGGTGGCGAAAGGGGTGCGGCTGAACAAGGGGGGGGGGGGGGGGGTGAGAGAGAGGTTTGAGGGGGTTGGGGGGAGTCGTGGGCCCAGCAGCGCCATTCGCCAGTGAGCCCGTTGCTCCAGTCGCCCGAGGGTCAGTTGCTCTAGCCGTACGAGCGGGATGCTCCAGGCGTATGAGCCCGTTACCCCAATAGCCCGTGAGCCAGTAGCTCCAGTTGCCAGTGTGCTAGCCGCTTCAGCCGCCGCCCCCACCTCCTCTCCTCTTTCTCGCTCTCCCTCCTCACTTCCTTCTGCTTGGTGTACCCCTTCAGGGGGTGTTTCTGCACATGGTTCTTCACTATAGGCAGTTAGGGGGTGTGTTAAATTGTAATTGTATACATTATTCTATAACTGCCTGTAGTGTAGACTTAGTGTAGTTATATCCCTTGTTGTTGTGGTGCACCTTCTTCCTTTGCATGTCCTTTCCTATTTGTACCCTTGCTCAATATTGAATCAACCTCTTTCTTCTCTTTTTGGCTTGCTCATCTCTCTCGATACTCACGCTAGTACTTAGAACCCTAGCCATGGCTCTTTAGTTCATGAGCTTATCTCGACAATTGCAGTTGGGGTTAGCCCGAAGCGTTTGGAGATGGTGTCTGTGTATTTTTCGGCGCTGAGGTAGATTGCGTTTTCGCCGTCTTGTATGTTGAGTCCCAGGTACTGTGTCACGGTAGTCGCGACGGTGAGTGTGAGATCCTGCTGTAGCTCCCCTTCAAACCAGGTCATTATGTCGTCGGTGGAGCCTATGTAGAGGAGGTCGTCTACGTAGACGATGAGCAGGATATAGCCGGTCCCCTTAGTGAGTCGGTACTTTCCTTGGTCATGCGGTAGTTGGCAGAATCCAATGCAGATTAGTCGGGCATGAAGATGCTGTTGCCACAGTCTTGGGGCTTGTTTGATGCCGTATAGCGATTTTTGCAGCTGACAGACTTGGTTAGGGTCTGCATTAGACCCATGTGGGTGTTCGACGAAGATTTCAGCATCGACAGGGGCGTAGAGGAATGCGTTGGCAACGTCAATTTGTCAAAGTTTCTTCCGGTTCATGGCGGCTATCGCGAGGAGAATCCGCAGTGAGGTATGTCGGCTAACTGGTGCGAATGTTTCAGTGAAGTCTCGTCCATGCTCTTGGTCGAAGCCGCGCACGACCCAGCGTGCCTTGAATTTGTCTATCGTTTCGTCGGCTTTTGTTTTCACGCGGAAAACCCATTTTCCCGTGAGAATGGTCTTGTTGCGTGCCACTCCGATAGGCACGACTTTCCAGGTGTTGCGTTCTTGCAGCGCCTTTAATTCTCTGTCCATGGCTTCCCTCCATTTTTCCCTGTGTTCCCCCCCCAGAGCCTGCTAAATAGTGGCAGGCTCCTTAGGTGGTGCTGCTCCGTGGACAGCGGTGACGAGTCCCAGTATCTGCAGTCCACTCTGTGTGTAGCGGGGGAGATTTGCGTCCTCGGGATAAGCTGCTTCATCTCCCGCTTTTGGATCTGGTAGGAAATTGGGCCCTATGCGTTCGGAGACGTTGGTGTCGACCGGTTGGGGTGTAACGTAACCGTTGTCGGCGAAGTCGAAGTAGACTTCGACGTTGACACTTTCGCGAGGGTTGTCGTCGTCCATGGGAATGTCCACTAAGCAGTAAGGAAGAGGTCCGGCTTCCTCCGAAGCTTCGTCCACGTTCTTCTCGTCCCAGTCAGCTTCGTCTGCTGCCGAAGCAAAAGCTCGGTTGCCACGGAAGCCGCCCGTGAGGTCTCGATTTGCTGCCAGGTTGTCCAGGTACGTTTGAAGTGTGAGTCGCTTGTAGAAAATGACATCACGTGCTGCTACTGTTTCCTTCGAGTGGACGTTGAAAAATTTCCATGCGTTGTAGTGCTTCTCAATGCCCAGGTGTAGCCCACACTGTGCGCGTTGGGAAAATCTTCCGGCTCTTGCAGTGTGTGGTCGGTACTGTACCATGCACCCAAAAACTCGTAACATTTTTGTGTTGCCCAGTTTTCCTGTCCACAGTAGGTGCGGTGATGCGTTGTTCGGGAGTGATGATGACGAGAGCAAGTTGTGTAGCATGACAGTGTGGTCCATCGCCTCAGGCCACTGGTGGTTGGGCAGTCGCATGCCGCGTAACAGTTTGCGCATGGTGTTCCGGAGAGTTCTGTTCATCCGCTCTGCCACGCCTTGCTGTTGATGGGCGTAGGGAAGCGAGATGAGTCGCTTGATGCCTCGTTCTGCGAGGTATTGCTTAAACCTTTGTGACTGATATGCTCCTCCCCCGTCTGACTGGAAGCTTTTCAGCTTTGCTCCTGATTCTCGTTCTGCCACAGGTAGCCAGATGACGAAGGCTTCGAAGGCCATGTCGCGACTTGGAAGGTTGAGATGCCAGACGTATCGGGTGGCGGCGTCGATGAAAGTAATCACATAGTTCTATGCTCCCTGTCCATGTTCGCGAGTGTACAAGTTGTCGCTGTAAACTTTTTGCAATGGTGCGTAAGCTGGCGCGCTTGGATTGTGGTGAGGGACAAACGGTTGATGAGGTAAGTCGGCTTCGGGGCAGGTAAAACATGTACCTCGGACTCGTTGAAGTTCTCTGCCGTCGGGTAGAAGTAGCGAGTCTTTGTCGAGTACTGCTGCATTGATGGTGTTGTTTAACGTTGTATTGCTTGGGTGACCCAATCTTTCGTGCCACAGTGATTCGCTCGCATGATGTCCTGGTGAGCGCCTGTACAGGTCGGAGTTGGAATAAAATCCTGCGGTGAAATTGGCGCTTCTGTGAACTTCGCGTGGAGTGGGAGTTAACTGCTGCGCAGGAGTCGGTGGAGTATCGTTGATGAGAGCTGGTGCCGTTGAAGAATCTGCGATTGGTGTCATAGTTTCTGCTACCGATGTTGCTGTTGCTGATGTTGTCTCTGCTGCTGCCGATGTTGGCTCTGCTGCTGCCGATGTTATCTCCGTTTGCCGAATTGTTGCTAACGCTCTTGTTCTTTCTGCTTCAGGTATGGTGTGTGAGTATCAGAATCCTCCAGGACTGAAGTCGGTGCCGAGATCTGGTGGATGTGTCCAAGAGGCGAAGTTGACGATGGCGTCGCTGTCGGCGGTGCCTTGGTCCATAACGAAGTCAAGAACGAAGACGTTATTCTTCAAGACCGCCTTGCCAATGTAGAGTCCGCCCTTTCCGTGGTACAACTTGAACTCCTGAGTGGTGCTATATGCTTCAAGATGAATGCCCTTCGCCATTAGTTGACTGACGCTGAGTAAGTTGTAGCCGAGTCCTTCTGCAATTAAAACCTTCGACATTTGTCGAATAACGTTGGTTTCTCGAGATTGAAGTTGAACGATCCCTTGTCGTCGTGTGTGCAGGTTCTGATTGTTGGCGACGATGATTACAACTTCGCGCTGAAGTTGGTGTTCCTGTTGAATTAAGCGACCCGAGGAGCACATGTGCTGGCCGCAGCAGCTGTCCAAGAACCAAGTGTCTTTCCCTGACGGCTCGCTCTGGGCGATGGCTACATACGTTGGGTTGGGCTCCAGTGATTCGCGGTGAGGAGTGCTCTCGTCGAGCTGTTCTTTTGGTGAGTTGTACGGTGGTGATCTGGTGATGCAGGTTTTGTCGTTGATGACATTGAGGACTGTACTTGATTGGTGGGATGCGCCTGTGTAGAAGCCACTTGACTGCTTGAGGGCCAAAGTTGACGTTGCGACGACGTCGACTGCTGCTGATTCGGGCAGTGTGTGCGAGGATGTCCTGACGTCTTGCAGAGGTGACAGAACGGTGGGACGTACTTTTGAATTTGACGGTTGTTTTGTCGATTGTTGTTGTTGTTGTAGCGCCGTTGAGTGTGAAACGCGAACTCTAGTGCTGACGCTCTCTTCTTGTGTCGTTCTTCGTGTAGGTCTATATCCTGCTGTTCAGCGTAAATTTCAGCGCAGAGTGCTGCTTCGGAGATCTTCCCGTGAGCTTGGAGGAGTGCTCGAGTGGAGCGCCAATGAGGACCGAGGCCAGCAATGATAACTGTTACGAAGGCTTCTTCGGATATTGATCCTCCGCATCGAAGGAGTCTGTCGCGCAGTCCACGACAACGGCTGATATACGCCATTCCCTTTTCGCCGGGTTTCATTTCCACTGTTGTCGGCTGTGCCATGAGACGACTTTGATTAACACTATCTGTTGCTTGATACAGGTTCTTCAGGTGGTTGTACGCGAGCTCAGCGGAATTGCCGTATCCTCGATAAGACCGGATGTTCTGCTGCTCGTTTGGAGATAGATTTCGCAGAAGTATCGTGTACGCCATAAGTGATTGATATGTGTACTGCTGCTTGTCGTATTGTGTCCCATGTGTTGGGTATGGCAAGGACCCGTCGAAGAATCCAAGAATTTGCGCGCCCTCCATCATCAGTGCGAACTCGAATGACCAGGTATAGAAGTATTTTCCGTCGAAGAGTGTCGATGTCTGCAGTTTTAAAACATGTGCGAACTGTGATTGAACATGAAGCGCATCCAGTGTCTTCTCTTGTCCAGTTGAAGGCTGTTGGTGTGGCATGAAGCTGATGGAGCTACGTTGAGGTTCGTACGGAGCAAAGGTAGGTTGCTGCTGGTTTCCGCACGCATAGGATGAACCGTCAAGGCTCATTGGGGTAACTCTGTTGTTGTTGTCGCTGTTGTTTGATTGAGCAGGAGCTGCTTGCTGGTGTTGCTCGTAGAAGGACATGAAGGAGATTTTTTTCTCCATCATGCTTGGGTCGAAGCCTGCTGCTTCATTCCCGAGAGTTTCGGTGGACTCCGCAGCTGGTCTTGCTGCTGTGCCTTCCTCTGTTTGTAGGCCAGAGGCTAGAGGTGGAGTAGGAGTAGTGCCGGGAGATCCGTTGGAGGAGCTCCTCTCCTTCTGAGTTGCCATGTCTTGTGTTGTTGTAGAAGTTTTAGTAGTTGATCTTGCCTTGGAGGCTCTCATACCATGTTGGGCTGAGGAAAGCCCTTAGGATCTTTTCAAGGCTAAGACCTTTTGAGTAGGAATGTTGTAGTTGCGGAAGTGTAATAATAATATTACTGAACCACCTTGCACTAGTGTGTGAGAGCAAGATAAGTTGATTAAAGCAAAGAGATACAGGAATATATATATGATTACAAGGAATACGAAGAGGTGCGGTTTTAACTGTTTTTGCTGTTGCGGTTCGATGCAGTGACGACTCGGGCAACTGCTCAATATTGAGTCAGTTGTTTGTCCTTGCTGTCGCGCTGTATTTTTCGTCGAGTCAAAGGTCGCTGACCTTTGACCTTCGCGTAACCTCCAGCTGTTGTTTTTGTTGACTCGCGTGTTGCTTCACTGTAGTCTGCTTCGTTTTCTTGTCAATACTTCGATACTTCAGAAGCGTTAAATTACTTGTTTCCAACACAGCATCACACCGAACTGACCCCTGCCTATCTCCTTCAGCGATTCGGACGATTCTTCACACATGCTGAACATGGCTCCTGGGACGTCCTCGTTATAAGCGCAGTTCCACATAAATGTCAAATAATATATATTTGTATAAACTGCCTGTAGCATAATCTAGTGTAGTTATCTTTCCTGTTAGGTGGTGCACCTCTCGTTGCTTGATTCTTGTATAAATTGGGCCTTTGGCCCTTTAGTGAAACCCCTTCTTCTTTGTTCAATCCTCTCGACACTTCCTTGCCTAGTCCAAAACCCTAGGCTACTCCTTCTAAGTTATGAAGCTACTTTAACATGGTATTAAGAGCTGTTAGTTCCTGCGGACGTTTTCCTTTCAATGGGCCCACCGTTGGCCATGGTGCTCCACGTCAAGTTTCATGTCGCAGCCCCCGTCGCGCTCGTCAAGGCGCTCAGCCTGACGGCCGCGACGGCCACGAAGGCGAGCCTCGTACGCCTCCCCGCTTCCCGTCGCCCCTCTGCCCTGCCTCCCGTCGCCACGGGCGCCCCGCTTCCCGTCGCCGCGGGCGCCCCGCTTCATGTCGCCGCGGGCGCGCTGCTTCCCGTTTCCGCGACTTCAGCTGTGGGAGGAGGTGGTGGGGGGGAGGGGGGGGGGGGGGGAGGGGAGGCGAGGGTGGCTGACGCCACTCTGCTCGCTGCTGCGCCACACCGCTATGTCGCCCGTGCTCCCGCTGCTGCCGCGCTTTCTGGTGCGCGAAGCAGCACCTTCGTGCCTAGCCCGTCGCCCCCCTCTTCCCGCGCCCACGTCTGCCGTGCGGGGAGGAGGCGGGTGGCGGGTAGGGAAGATTTGTCGGGGGGACAGCGCTCGAGGCGGTCGTCGCGGCCCTTTCCCTCCCCCCCATACCGTTTTCTTCCCCCCCGTCGCCTCTCCTGCCCGCGCCTGCTTCTGCAGTGCGGGGAGGTGGCAGGGGAGTGGAGCCCGCGCCCTGCCCGTGCCTCTGCCAGCACCAGCGCCTGTGGGGGGAAGTGTGATAGGGGTGGCGGATAGTGGAGGGTGAGGGGGTGGCAGGAGGGGTTCTGCAGCGCCAGCCGCCCACCACCTCCTCCTCTCTCTCCTTGCCGCACCTGTTGTTGTGTTGGGAGAGGGGGGGAGCTTGGAGGTTAAGGGGGTGGCAGGAAGGGATCTGCAGCACCAGCTGCCTCCTCCCCCCTCTCTCTCCTCTCCGTTTCCAGCCACCCCTGCCCTGAGCCACCCCTACCTTGTGCCTGCCCTGACTGCCATGTATCTCTCTGCAACTTTTGCTGCTGTTGGGGGGGGGTTTGGGGAGGGGGGGGATGTTGAACGGGGGTGGCCGCCGTGAAGCCAGCAGCTCCAGTCGCCGATGTGCCCGTTGCTCCAGTCGCCCGTGAGCCTGTTGCTCCAGTCGCCCGTGAGTCAGTTGCTCCAGCCGCTCGTCTAGCCGCAGAGCCAGTTACTCCAGTTGCTCGTGTGCCAGTTGCTCCAGTTGCCCGTGTGCCAGCAGCTTCAGCCGCCGCCCACCACCTCCTCTCCTCTCATGGTCCCTCCTCCTCCTCACTTACCCTCTCCTTCTTCCGCAGCACTTGGTGTACCCCTTCAGGGGGTGTTTCTGCACATGATTATTTGCTGCAGGAAGTTAGGGGGTGTGTCAAATAATATATATTTGTATCAGCTGCCTGTAGCATAATCTAGTGCATTTATCTTTCCTATTAGGTGGTGCACCTCTCATTGCTTGATGCTTGTATAAATTGGGCCTTTGGCCCTTTAGTTAAACCCCTTCTTCTTTGTTCAATCCTCTCGACACTTCCTTGCCTAGTCCAAAAACCTAGGATACTCCTTCTAAGTTATGAAGCTACTTTAACAACAAACAGGTCTCCCCCCTCAAAGAGCTCCATCACCACGTGCACGTGCTGGGAGGGGGGAAGGGAGTGGCTGTAAGAGGGGGAGGGATGGAAAGAAACAAGGGAAAAGAGAGCAAAGCAAGGGTGAGCGTGGTAGGAGTGTGCCAGCTTTGCCAGCTATTTCTGGCATAGCTAGGAGTGTGCCATAAACGTTTTAGAGGACACAAAAGAAGGGCAAGGGTATTGGGTGATTCTAGTGGAAATCGGTCAGGAATGGCAACAGAAAGGCGTTCTGTTGGAATGTTAAGTTTGAAGGATTTGAATGAGTCAGATAAGGCAAACACAAAAGAAGGGAGAGGGTACTGGGTGATTCTAGTGGAAATCGGTCATGAATGGCAACAGAAGGGCGTTCTGTTGGAATATTAAGTTCGAAGGATTTGAATGAGTCAGATAAGGTAAACACAGTTTGAGCACCAGGAGTCATTACTCGTACATTTTCAATGGGCCGGAGGGTAACAGACAAGGGTAACTTACCCTCTGCATCTGCGCAGCCTGCTTGATCCGAATGATGCTGACGTGGTTCTTGAGTTCTTCCATGGATGGCAACACATTCCGCACTACCTCAACGTCTGCAGTACTCTGCACAGTCGGAAAGGCAAGAAAAAAAAGAAGGGCGGAAAGGGGAGGAGAAACACAGACACTGAAGATGAGGGACAAGAGGCAAACGGATTTGGTTATGGAGCGGGGAAACAGAAGGGAAAATAAGGCAGGGAAGGGACCAGGGAGGAAGCAAGAGGCATGGAGATGAGAGTGAAATCATCAAAGATTAGGGCACGGACATCCCATGTCAGAGAGATGAGGGTGGGGATATCCGGCAGAAAAATAATGGCAGGGGTGATCTAACGGCAAGGAGATCCCCATGGCAGGGAAGGTCGGTGCCGTACCTGAATGGCGGATTTCCGGATGCTCTTCCTCTTGCAGGCAGCGATCTCTCCACTGCTGCGGTGCATGCATCTTGTTATCACACCGTACTGCCCCCTGCCTATCTCCCTCCTCACCGCCACCTACCAAAGTTCCCCTAACACCTCCCCCAGGTTCCTCTGATTGAACATGGGGGGGAATCTGTGCAATGAGTAGGGGAGAGAGAATGGCCCACTCGCACCTTCCCCACTTGCACATTCCTCTCCTCTGCTGCTGGGGTTGCGTGTCCACAGGCGTATTTCTGAGGCTCAACCGAGGCTGCAGGCTCAGATTCCGAGGTCCGGAGCTGACTCCGAGGTTCAGAATCTGAGGTTTGCGCCATCAGGTGCTGACTCAGAATAGTCTCTGGCAGATGGCAGAGGGGTTGTTGCCGTATGAAGTGCGTTGACCACATTGACTCTATTGATTGCTTTGACTGCCGTGTTCCATGCATTGAAGGCGTTGACACCATGGACTGCTTCAAATGTGTTGACTCGGTTGACTTGGCCTGTTTGGTTGACTCGGTTGACTTGGCTTGTTCGGTTGACTTGAGGGAATTTCGGGCGAAACGAGCTTATGAGGAGCATTGCCGAAACACTGCCGCATCAGCCGCTGCTGCTGTTTCCGCCCCACCACCCTTGGTGCCTTACCAACCCCTAACACGGATACTCCGTTGAACCAATCCCCAAGCGCCACGTCGACTGCCGCGGTACCACTAGCAGCTCCTCCCTCAACCAAAGCCCCGCAGGAAAACGCGGCGGCTTCTCCGTTCGACCAAGGAATGGAGTCGGCGAAAGGGAAGGCTGAATGGAACGGGGAAGGGGAGGAGGCAAAAGGGAAGGCTGAAGGGAACGGGGAAGGGGAGGAGGCAAAAGGGAAGGCTGAAGGTAACGGGGAAGGGGAGGAGGTGAAAAGGAAGGCTGAAGGGAACGGGGAAGGGGAGGAGGCGAAAGGGAAGGCTGAAGGGAACGGGGAAGGGAAGGAGGCGAAAGGGAAGGCTGAACAGAGCGCGGACGGGGAGGAGGGGAAGTCGAGCGCGGTCGTAGGGCTGCGGCTCGTGACAACACCCGTAGTAGCGGCGGACGTGACATGATCTGGCAGATGTGAGGTGGCGACGCCGCAGTAAGCGCCGTCACAGCCGACAGCGCCGCAGATCTGAATCTCCAAGGTCCTCCGCGAATTCAGCGGTGGTGGCACGTCGCCGCGGGGCCTTGGGGTTGCGCCACGAGCTCGCCGCGTTGCGGCGGCGCCGGACGACGACGTGCGATGCGTCGTGGGCGACATGACTCAACTGTGTGGATGATTGCTACTGCTCGTTGAAATGGCGTGAGATCTTGATCGCTAATAGTCAAAAACGGCGCAAAACGGGGAATGTATGGCGTTCTGGGGTTCGACTCTCACGCCGGGCGCTTTTATTATATACTCGAGGTGGGTGGGATGCGTGCGGGTGGATCAACGGGAGTGTGGAGGGAGGGGATGTGGCGGGCAGATGAATGGATGACCGTGGCCCATGGACCCCATGGACGGGAGAGAGAGGGGCCACGGCCATTCTCCCGTCGGACGGGAGAGAGAGGGGATCTTACTCCTCTTCAAGTTGACGTGGAAGGAGTGGCTGTGGGTCAACCAGAGCGAGCTACAGGGTCGACTGTGTATGTGACCTGATGAGTCAGCTCAGCGCTGGTACCTAGTGGGGCTTGATGGGGGGCTTGGCCTGACGAGTGAGTGGCGGGGAGGGACGTGAGAGTGGGAGGGGGGGGGGGGGGGGGGGGGGTCGTGGGCGTGCGGAGGGGGGGTGGGTCGTGGGCGTGCGGAGGGGGGGGAAGAGAGAGGCGCACCGCGCGGCTCGGGTCGGTCGGACGCACTGCACTGCACGGCCAGCCATCGGCGGAGCGGAGCAGGCGAACGAGACACTCGGAGTTGGAGTGACCCATCCGTTTGGTTGGCATGGCATCCCCGCCGCTCTAGGACGAGTCTCAAAGTTTGATCTTGGCCTGCCTGAGTCACCCCGAGACAGGCAGACACGTCATCCCGATTTTGACGAGTCGTCGTGACAGTGGCTCGCCCGATCTCATCACACGTCAGCTTCCGACGATGAATAGGACGGACTCAAGGAGAGCCTTTCTTGGGTTTACTTCAGCGCTGTGCATCAGCTGTGGTGTACTCTAGAGCGGGTATGCGGCAAGGTGGATGCGGCTGCGGCGAAGAGTAGTAGCGCACGAAGAGCGAGCGTTTGCGAAGGACCGGCAATACCGCCAGCCAAGCTTGGGTGGGCAGCGTATTACGCAGCACGCGTTTGTACACACATTATGCTTTCGGTGAAAGTGCTGGGTGTGGCGCGTGGGAGAAGTGCTGACTAGGCTTCATGCCATGAGGGCCAGCGCGGATGAGCAAAGAACTCTTTCGGCCTGCGCGGAGAGGGAGAGCAGCTCTGCATTTACGAGGTGCTCCTATCCACGTGCTCGGAACGGTATCTGCAGAGTAAGCCACGTGCAAACACGTGCCTAGCTGTTCCACGTGCATTGTGCATGGTGGCGCAGTGCACTGTACCGTTGTGTCAGTCCGTGACAAACTATCTTCTCTTGAGAATCCTTGATTGGCGGGCAGAACTCTTATGGATCCGTGATCGAAATTCAAACTAACGACGCACGCATCTCGTCTTCTCTGCAGCAATGCAGCTGCTTGCTTGCTGGGAAGGAGAGCTAACCTATTGCACCTGCCATGTGGGATATGGGAAGGGAATTGAAGGGCTAAAATGCTTTTTTTTTTTTTCGTTAAGATAGGGTTGGGTGATGCGGGAGAGAAGGACGGGTGCGATGCGATGGCAGTGCAGATTTGCGAAATCGCGGATTTTCTCCATCGCACATATTCCGAAGTTTCGACGTACATTTACGATTGCAAACGAGGGGAGCTCGGGTCGGGTTGCGTGTGATCCTGTGATCACGCGAACGAACCGAGCACGAAAAAAAAATTGCCAGATCAGGGAGCATCTCGGAATCGATGATGACGTGCCTGCCACCAGTTGACCAGAAACGAGTAGACCAAAGCCTTTCCGAAAAGCGTGGACTGCGTGGGGGCAGTTCTGCACTACACGGCCTGTCTTCTTGGAGAAGTCAGCCTAACGGAAATTTAGACAGTGCGACAGTGTGTCGTGGCAGCATTACAGTATGTGGCATTCCTTCCAGTGCGTGAAATTTCCAAGCATTCTGCAAACGATTCATGTGACATGTTGCTGGCCCCGTTCGATAGGCTAACACTCCGAATATATCTCAGCGGACAAGCGAGTCCGCCCGGGGGAGCTCGCTGCCCGCGGGCAAAAAAATAAAACCCATTCGGGCATGCATCCGGTCAGGGAGGCATCAACCCTAAACACAGGGAGGCATGGATTTAGGGTTGATGCCTCCCTCGAATGGCATGCCATCCGATAGGGTTTTAGTTTTTTTCTGCCCGGGGCAGCATGTCGTCAAGTCGTCAACAGGTCGTCAGGCTTGACGACCCGTTTCCGCTGAGATATTCCCTTGCAAAAGGCGTGGGTTAGGCTAGTGTTAAGGGGAGGGTTCAGCATAACTTCTCCTAGCTGACCGACCACCCACCCCAATCGGAAGCCACGCCCCTAGCGATCGGAAGGAGCGGGGCCCTAAGGGCGATGTCAAACTGTGTTTCTATGTTGTAGGCTATAGTGGGGTACTCCCTAAAGGGTACAACCCCAATTAGGGTTAGCTATACAATCCTGTAATGTCCTCAATCTAGTCATCCTTACGTTCCTACTTCTAACATGGTATTAGAGCGGGTCCGTCCGTAGGACCGCTCCGTTAGGGCCCACCGATAGTTTTGACATGCCCGATCTGCTCGATCTGCCCATACTGCCCTGCCCGTACTGCCCTGCCCTGCTTGCACTGCCCTGCACGGCCTGCCCTGCCCGTCGCGCTGCCCGCATAGCTGCCTAGCGCGCGACCCGCACGCTGCCCTGCTAGCGGCCTGCTCGCGCTGCCTGCACGCGCGCTGCCTTAGGCCTACGCGCGCCCTGCCTGCACGCTGCTTGCGCTGCCCGCGCACTGCATGAGCTGCCCGCACGCTGCCTGCCTTGCCTACGCGCTGCTTGCACCGCCGGCGCCCTGCCCGCGCACTGCCCGCACACCGCAGGCGCCGCCTGCGCGCTGCCTCAAAGGCCCGCCCTGCCCGCGCTCTACCCGCACAGCCCGCGCGCGGCCCTAAGCGCGCTGCCTACACGCGCCCTGCCCGCGCTGTAGCTGCTGCCAGCACCGCACTGCCTCGCCGTGCCGCACCGCCCGAGCCGCGCCGCACCGCCCGAGCCGCGCCGCCCTGCCAAGCCGCGTTGCCCTGCCGAGCCGCGCCGCGCTGCCTAGCTGCCTGGCAGATCTGTTTTTGCTGCTACACTGCTGCTTCTGGTACTGCTGCTACTGCTGCTGCTACTGCTGATGCTGCTATTAACGATAGCTACACTCAATGTCCTTGCCTTTGATGCGGAGGGGCGCCCGATTAGGTTTGACTGCTAGCTCGAGGATCTCCAGTTGTACCTACAGAGCCAGGCTAGGGAGGACGTTTCTCTGTTAGAACATGTGTTCGGTACCTGCCTAGCCCCTGAGGATACAGCTACGCGTGCTCTTCGTACTCAGCGGCTCACCCGCGATGCTGCAGCCCGCCTTTCTGTCCGCAATGCCCTCTCGCCTGAGGAACGAGTCCATTTTGGCCAGCTTAAGATGACGAAGGAACTGTATGATGATGTAGTTGCTCGTTACTCCCCCCCCTCGTCTGCTGCCCTAGACTGTATCATGCTGCCGTACCTTCACTCGGAGCTGTCTGAATTCCAGACTGTTGCTGACCTCTTCACCCACCTTCACTCTAGTGACGCTCGCTACCGTGCCGCTCTCAAGCCGGAATTTCTGGCTGCGAACCCGCCTGCTATGTACATCACACTCTACTACCTCTTTACTCGCCTCCCTGACTCCCTCCGCGCCGTTAGGGACCAATTTCTTGCTCTCGACCCCACCGAGATCACCCTTGCTGTGCTGGAGAATCATCTTCTCGAGGCTGAGAAGAGCTTCGTTGCTATCGCTGCCTCTCATGGCACTCCCCGCTCCCCCTTCTTTGAGGGGTGTTCTCCCTCCCCTCTCCTGCCCTCTGTTGCTACTGCTGTTGCTGTTGACTTCCTTCGTACTGAGGAGGTCGGTGCTGCGTCTGCTCCTAGTGGGAGGCGCCGCAACAGCAAGGGCAAGGGGGGTAAGGGTGGTGGGGGGGGCACTGGAGGGGGTGGTGGCGGGGGTGGTGGCGGTGGTGGTGGTGGGGGTGGAGGCGGTGGTGCTGGCGGGAGTGGAGGCGGTGGTGGCGGCAGTGGAGGTGGCTTAGGTGGTGGAGGCGGTGGAGTGGGCGGAGGGGGCTCGGGTGGCGGTCATGGTGGAGCTGGCGGGGGCGGAGGCCATGGGGCGGTGACTGGTGGTGCATCTCGTGGCGGCAGAGGCACTGGGGGTAGACAGCAGCAGCAGCCACGCACCGCTCAGGAGCAACTGTTTCTTTCGCGATTGCACCACAGTCACACCGCTCACAGCACCTGTCCCCGTCTCTCTGGCTGACCCCTCGGGGGGTCCAGTCATTGCACGAGCCTCCACTATGCTCCCTTGTCCGGCAGTCCCCTCCGGTTCTCTGTTCGGTCTCCACATCCCCTCGTTCTCTAAGAACTTGGTGAGTAACGCTGTCCTCCAGGACGAGTTGGTCAGTACCTTTACTCCTGGAGGTAAGCGTGTGGCGATCTGTTCGGACTCTCGCACTGGCGAGCACCTCGCCACGGTCACCCAGAGCCCTGGGTCTAGCCTGTACACACTCACCACTGAGTCCGCACAGGTGGCTGTGTCAGGTCAGATGACTGCATCTACACGGGTGGCTACGTCGGGTCAGTTAGCTGCGTCTTGTTCGTGTCGGCTACTCTCGCACCAGACTCTCCTCCGGCACCACCGTCTTGGTCACCCCTCCCTGCCGCGCTTGCGTGGCATGAACTCTCGTCTCCTTGTCTCTGGCCTCCCCAGGTCCCTGCCCCCGCTCCCGCGCTCGCTTGCACCGCCGAGCATTCCCTGCGTCGAG